TGTGCAGGATTGGAGTCTGCACAGTACTGGCACCACAGACACCCATTTTTAAGAAGTTGATTGTAATTTTAAAACCACAACAGTTTGACTGACAGAAGCCCTCTCACACTTCTGGCAGGAATTCTCCACACCTGCAAATATGACCATTGCTTTCTTTTAATATGATACACCTGACCTTTACTGGAAATGCCTGCGTAAGAAAATACAAGCGACCAAGTGAACTTACTTAGAAAACTAAATCACTGTGCAAAGCTGGATTGTTTACTTTCTTGCTCCATTCAACCAGCCTAAGTTATAAGGTGGATTAATAGATCTTTGCTTGCTTGAGTCAGACACTGGAAATGACTAATATTTTTCCCTGACTCTTCCAGATGGACCTTAACTGCAATGCCTCCTCTCTTTTTCTGAGAAACCATTTAAGTTTTGCTGAGCCTACTAATTATATAGGATACTTTCAGACAGAGACACAGGAGGAATACCTTGCATTTCACACCATTAACCTATCCTGGTGAATCAATCTAACATTTGAGAATAGCCAACCATGATTACGTTTAAAATATTTAAATAGAGGAACAAATGTTCCCCAAAAGTTTGTATGGATAATTGTACTGATATGAAGATCCTTTGAGCAACTTTTAGTGTGTGATACAATATGAACTCAAACAAGACAGAAATTGAGTATTTTTTTGAGGTTCAAGTTGAATCATTTCAAACCTTTGTAATTCACAGGTTATGTTAATCCTTAACAGCAGCACTCAGCACAATCTGTGATGTAGCCTGTACAGAATATAAGGATCCAAGTTGCCTACTATTCTTCACGTGACAGTTATTTATGCCAGTGGGTAATGAAAAAAAATATAGGGTAATGATTTTTGCATCCCCTCTGGTTTCCTGATTATGAATAACTATGACAAGTGCCAGACAATGGAAAAGTTTGTTGAGATAGTGCCATTCTTCATCTCGCTCTTGCAATACAGACTATATTCAGAGCACAGAAATTTGGTCTACCATTAGTTATTCAGGGTCTGAATGAGGCATCAGAATTATATTCTACAGTTTTTTATATGAAGATAAAGGCATTTTCAAAATCCTCACACATGACCGCTATATCTTTTGTGGGTATGCAACATTCACCCTTCACATTCAGGATCCAAAGCCTCAAAGCCAAATTTGCTAGGGAGGATTAGTTCTTTAATGGCTTCAGCCACTACTGCTTGCACTTTGGGCAGGGGAATTCTTAATGTTTATACCTGTTGGAAACTTTGGACCAGTGTTTTAAAAACATTTCAGCTGTTTCTTGCTGTTCACCTTTAAACCATAATAACATTTTCCCCACACATGATCTTTTCCAGGAAAACTTTTAAAAGACAAAAGTTTATGTCTAGTTATTTTAAGTATGTATGGGCATATTAGTAGATTAATAGACCTAAGAAAAAGAACTTAGTATAGCAGAAGCAGCAGCCATTCTCTTGCCCCGTCTACAAAGGAAATATATAATCCATCTGTGGCAGCTGTAGTAAAACACAACATCTGTTGATCATTGACAACGCTCTGGAAGGGACTCCCAAAATCCAAGCAGGCTTTGGCATTTTTTCTGACTTTTCACTTCAGACCTGAGACATACAGTCACTTGCACATACTGTGCTGTCTGACTACAAGGCTTTGCGGTGTTAGCTTGTCAACCAGGCGAAAAAAAACAACCCCAAAAACTGAATGTCATAAGGAACAAGGACAAACCTATGTGGGTTTAGTGAATAAACAATGCTTGTAGCAATGTGGGGATTCTGACGTCACTTGCACTCCTAATTAAAGAGCAGTTCTATTTTCTATTGGCAGCACAGCTATATTTTTGAAACACTTGGATCAGATCCTTTCACTGGTCTCATTGGCCATAGCTCCATTGAAGTCAAAAGGAGCCCTGCCATTTGCATCAGCTGAGATTCTAGCTTCCTATATGTCAGGTTTTAAACACAGAGGGGGAAAAAATAAAGTTTTAATGAATGCCGATCAAAATGCAGCACTTTTTTACCCCCTGCCCCACCCCGATTCCTTCAATGGATGTATATCATCTGAAGATTTGGCTCAAAGCATTGGGTGGTATTAAGATAAGCAATGGAGGTTGCTGTCTCAAACTGGCAAATCAGCTAGTCTGGTGATTAGTGATAACCCACTGTTTTGACTTTTTTTTTTTTAAGCAAAATAAGAAAGACTTTCTTTATACAAAAAGCCACCCTACGGTTGATCCTTCTTGTTTAACTTCTTAATCTGTTTAGCTAAAGCTCGCATGGTACCTTAATACCTTTTTAGCAGAATGCTGATGAGCTCCCATCTCCCCCTCCCCATGTATTCCTCCTTTTTAATCATGTGCCATCCTGCACTCACATTTTTCACACGTCAGCTAAACACACTCCCATCAGAACCCTCGTTACTGGCAAAAATCACATAAAGCAACTTTAACCATTAGTTTCCTGAAGAGGGGGAAAAAAACCAACAAAAAACCTCTATGCAAAACTTCTCCAAAGCCATGCTGCCTAAATACTGCCCAGCTACTGTGCTGGAATTCCTGGACCCTTCAGTAACTCACAGCCTCCCATTCACAGACAAAAGAGCAAGTAAAATGAAGCTGACTTACTGCTATGGCTTGCAGCCTTTCCTTGTGCAATTCTGCCTCCGCCATCCTGGAGAAAAGGACACAGGGAAAGAGAGAAAATACACACTGCAGTCACCAAGGGAAACTGAGTTACACGCCACAGAGTATCTGCAAAGAAAGCTGTGTTCCTGTGTAGTAGTCAAGCACTTCTGGAGGCACTGCAGACTGGCTCACGGTAGGATCATTTTAGGCACTGGACCAGTGCCTGCCTGCTTGTCTTCCAGCTGTACAGCTAACTGCATTTCATTGCTGCTTCTGTGTGCTGTTGCTGTCACACAAGCCATGTATGTGCTCTGAAAGCAGCTGAGTGCAGGGATAGCTCGCATGGCTATAATTTTTTGGCTTGACATCTCAGCTCATTTGCTCCTCCTATGGAGTGCTGGGTCACGACAGGAGTTGACATCAGTAGCATGCATAGTAATCAGAACCTGCATGAATGCAGTAGAGGAGGGAGAGGGCTGTACTGCAGCATGTCCTTAATGAGGAACTCTAGAAAAACGGGGGTAGGGGGAGCACAGGGATTTCAGCAGTGGTAAAATAGTTTCTCACTGGAAGCTGAAAAACTAAACTGATTTGGCCAGAGAAAAGGACATAGCTCAGGGGACTAGAGAGGAACAATACACAGTTGTGCATTCAGACTACAGCACAATAGTTTGCGACTATAATAATACAGCACGTACAAAGAGTCACTAAAGTGGTGGCTCTCCAGGAGGATACTTCAGAGGGGAAGGAAAACGGAGCCCACAGATTGCTCATACTTCTTACATACTGAAGTGCTACATTAAAAGAGTGTCAAGGTTGCAAAGCCAAGCAATCAGAAATGGAAGTATATCATTATGTAATTAAAGACCACACCACAATGCATACCCACAATGGGGATGGATTAAGATCACAGATGCAGTCTTAATTCTGGCATTTCCTCATTTTTGAGGGCTTGACTTGCAACATTTTAATGCAGAAAGAGAGCGAGAGAGAAAGAATGTGTATTCATCATCACACAACTTGCTCATCAGCAGGGAGACTTCAAATACTCTGTATAGACCAATGGTTCTAAACCTTTTGTGCGCCAGGACCCGTTTGTAAACATCAATGGCCAATCCTGACTCAGTGCTCCCCACTCTCAACCCTCTGCCCCTTCCCCCAGGCCTCAGCCCCCGCAGTGTGTTGGGCATGGAGGCCCCAAGCAGCCCAACGCGGGCTGGAACACTGACAGTCTGCAAGAGAAAAGCCACCGTTTCCCACGTTTTTCTCCTTTAAAGGACAATCTATTTTTAAAGTTTGTTAACGACCCTTTCATATATTCTTGCGACCCATTTTTGGGTCACAACCCATGGCTTGAGAAATGCTGGTATAGACGACTTTCACATTAGCTGACAGAGAACTGGCAGCAGTAGTAGGCTGTCACCCACTTGGTGTACCAGGACAAAAGAGTGGCTGGAAACCACCAAGTTTCAGAAATACATGCCACTGGCAGAGGCATGCCTATATTCAGGAATCTTCAGTTCCCTTGAGTTTCTATAGAGCCAAACCAGCCTGCCTCGCTCCCAGTCTTGCCTCTAACCCGCCCTTCAAGTCCAAGTCTCCCAGTCAGGTCTTGTCCAAGTCCTAATCTTTACCCCCATGCTTAGCTCACAATGCTAGTGAGCTTCATTGATCCTTGAATCATTCTCCTTACACCGTTGAGGGCAATTCTCTTATACCTGTCATAACCCAAAGGTATGATTTTGTGTGTGCTTCGGCACCAGAATTATCCCCGCCAGGTTGCAACTTCATTGCACGGTGGAGTTTTCTGCTGCGGAGGAAAACTCCGGTGCAAGGACGAGATTCCCGCCTATTTGCAGCTTCTTTTGCAGGGTGCATTGCTCAAGTTGCAAGAGAAATGCACGGTGCAAAAGAGTTCCCGCCACCCGCATGCAAATTTGTGTCCCGCTATTGGCTAGTTCTAAATTATTCCCACGTGGCGGCTAGCGATTGGCCTGTTAGCCGTATAAGAGGCTTGAGCGGTTTCTGCCCAGCCGAAGAGGACTCTACATCCATCTCGTGGGGACTCTGGGTACACGGCAGGGAAGTAAAGACCCCTGTGTGAGATTCAGAGGAGCTTGGCAACCTGATCCATTGCCCACCTCTTCCCGTCTTTGAGCGATAAAAATTATAAGACGTATCTACGAGTCCGACTTTGGTGGCGCGCTCACCCAGAACATCCGGAGCTCTGTTTCCGTGGAGCCTAGCAAACTCCACGTGACCGTCCGTGTTGTCTTTGTCTGTAACCGCAACTCAATCAAGTTTTCCAGCCTACACCACTGCCATCTCAGTGTAAGTAAACAATCTTTAAAACTACCGCTACGAGTCTGTGACTAATTCTAGCTTGTCGCGCCCCTCTCTCTGACCCCACATGCCCGGGCTGCTGGCCACAGCCCGCGTGCAGCACGAAAAAGGGCCCGGCTCACGCCCGGCCCGCACAATACCTTGTTCCGACTGATCTATTTCTCCCCACTACCCTGCCTCCCAAAGCTCTATTACAAAGCCCATGGGCTCCCACTGTTGGCTTTTCAGTCTAATCTCCTCTAATGTTGCCAGCGGCTCCTTGTTCTAATCCAGTGGTGCTCAATCCCTCTGTGGTCTGGATAAGGGGCGCAGAGCTAACCCATGGGTCAGATCCTGCAGGTGGAATCCAACAATGAACTAGATCTAGCATGGAGCTGGCATGTAGAGTCAGACAGCAGGTACGACTTCATGTGCCAGCATGATCCAGTGTGCAGGACTGCATCATCCAGCCCATAAGTCTCCCCACAGATCTGGAAATGTGGTGGTGGGGGTAGTATTAATTGCTGTGAACTACCCTCTGGCAAAATGAATGGGAGAAATGAGGCAATAAACTGTTGAATGGAGCTGGCAAGGAATTACCCCCAGCGAGGAGTTAGCATCTGGCTCCAATTACAAATGGCACACATGGTGGAGCCTAAACAGACTGACAGTGGGTCTCGGCAGATGCAAATCTCTTATGAGATCATGGGGCCTCTATGTTGAGCTAAAGTTAATTTGCCTTTATGTACTCTTGATATTGCCTTTATAATATGCTTTATTATTATTTTATAACCAATATCCATTTTAGTTTGCTCAAATAACTGTAACTTAGTCTTAGTTGAGACTCCATTTTGATTTTTACATTGCTTAGTGTAAGTGTAACAGTCATTTTGTTTTGTGATTGTGTAGGTTAAATATAGTATCAGAGAAGTGGTGTGTATGCAAGGCCTGTGGTATGTCTGGGATGTTTGAAAAGAAGTAATGAAAGAATAAACAGTACGTGTGGAAATGCATATGTTAAGACAGTCTGTCTTGCACCTGTAGCTAGAAGGATAGAAATAGCCTTCTGCGATTTAACAGCCAAAGGTTACAACAATGTCCAAGATCAACAGTTAAGAATTACAAAATACAACCTAATGGTTTTGTTCCAATGGCTGAAAAAATTGCTGACAACAGATAAAAAAAAATTGTAGACCACAGAGACAGAAGAGTCTGTCAATCATAATATTGTAATCAAAGAGGAGGATCATTTCGAGGTTGAGGAGATGATGCAGTAGGACCCATAGACTTGTACGGGGAACAATCACTATAAAGATGGACAAGAACAAAGAGGCTTTGGGTATGTCCTGCACAGAAGCAGCATCAGCATCAGAACGCGTCCGACAAGACCTGGCTTCATTCTCATGGTTAACTTAGCTGGCCAAGCTAACCCAAGCATCTTAAGAACTGGTAATATCTTGATATTTGCAGGACTGTCTGTCCGTCTCCTTTTGTATGTACGTGAATAAATGGATATGTATGTGTAAGTGTATGAAGAGGAAACAGTACCTTTATGTTGTTTTTTTTCATTTCTTTTATTTGTCTTATGTTTTCAATAAATGTGGCATTGTGCCTTATCCCCGGATAAGATTCCCGCTTGTTTTTAATTCACATTGTACGCCCTGTGCATACAACATCTATACAACCGACCAACGCATTTGTCAGAAGCAAACCATGGATCATCTTCTGAGATGCCCTATAGCACCACAAGGCACCCCACAACATTTGGGAATACCAAAATCAGCAGCAGTGGCCTGTGCAGAAGAGAGAGAGAGCAGACCACATGTAAAATTTGGACTGGGGAAACAATGATGATGATGATGAATTACTATGGCTTCCAGGACCAGAGGTCTATTTCCACTGTTCCTCCAGTTCCTCCCTCTGCCTTTCCACATGTCAAGGTTTGGCTTTCATTCCCTCTGAATTCCAGCAATTCATGTTTCTCCAAAGTGCTAGGCCCAGTGCCGGGGGCACTGATAGCAAAGGACAGATTGTCTCCCTGCTCTGAGTTGTGGTGCTCAGTCCCACAACAATGAAGAGGAGCGGTTGCATGGAAAGTTCTGCAGCTATGTGCTAAAGCATGACCAGCATGGATGGAATCTTTGGCTAATTTAACACCAAACTCTTAGTAAATCTCTGCTGAGCATGTTTGAACTGAGAATCTTCAAAGATTTATTATCTGATGATTTTGAATAAATTGTCAGGGAAACCGCCAAAGGCACATACATATTCCTTTATACCAAGTCAATACTCTACTGCAGTGGTTGGCAACGGTTTGTAAAGGCAGGCTGGAATGACTGCTTGGGTCCAAGCTGAGACAGTGCTAGGACCTGGCCACTGCCATCACCCCCACTTCTCCAATGCCTGGCAAGATGTCAAATGAAGCTCCGTGTTGCCTGGCTGCAGTGCCAGGGTAAATCATCCAGCTGCTGGAATGCCACTGAAGTCCCCCCTTGGCTCTGTGGGCCAGATCCAGTCTATGGCTCACAGGCTGCTGACCCCTCCATTGTATTTCAAGTCCCTTCCCCACATTGTGGAAATGAAAGAGCTTCCAAATGAAGCAGCTGTATGACTGTTTTAAAAACAGAAACAAAAAACATCCGTTTTTCTTCTCTCGCTCATTCCTGGAAATGTCCAAACTATTTTTGCTGAAACTGTTCAAAAAAATTTCAGCCTGAGGGTGACACCAAGCCTGGAAAATTTCAGCTCATAAAATCTTGCAAAACTGTAGGCACTCGAAACCCCCCCCCCCCAAACTTTTTATAATGGAAAGTTTTGGGTAACCTGAAGTATAGGTAGCACTATCAGCAATACCTACAATGTGGTTTTGTGTCTGTTGGTACATATGACTACTACACATGTCTAACCTCATTTATTCCTTTGGTTTTTCCCCCAGAGTTGTCTTCCAATTACTGCCTATGACCTCTTATATTCTATATCAGTGGGGACCAACCTTTTTGGCAAGTGTACCACAAATTAG